AGGAAAGCTGACATTCTTTTACAGTTTGTTCAGGACCTGTGCCATGTGCCTTAGACACTCCACATCTGAGTGGCTTGACAGGAAGCTGAAGAGCTGAAGTAATACACTGAAATAGCAAATATCTTTGTAGTGTCCCCAAGTACGTTATCTGTATTTAGTATTTTCTTCAGTAAATGCACTAACATGGAACATGCACTTAGAACTGCTACCAATTCAGCTCTTTGGTTGCCGTAACTGGAATTTAGAGGAATATATCCTTTTCAGTGTAATGCTCATTGAAACAAACATTCAGAAGCAAAGACAAGCTGGATTTCTTTAAATAACATTAATTCCATTTAGGAAAACAGAATTAAATAGATATGAAAGCACGATGCTTCTTCCTTTGGACAAAGCATAGATAATAATTCATAATAAAATGGATTTAAATTGTATTAAACCTTGGTTAAAACAGAATGTTAGCAAAGAAAATTATTTCAGCGCTTTGAAGGCACTTGTGCTTTTCAAGCAGCAGAAGACAATAAAAACAAGCAGCATCAAAAGCTAGTCAAGAAGGTGGACTTTGTAAGCAAGATAAAGCTTAAAATACCAAAACCTGCACCATCCAAAAACCAATCTTCACCAGAATGTTTAGCTCTGACATCTTTTTTTCATATGCATATTAGTGTATCTGTCTTAACTTGCTTGAAGAGAAACCAATAATACGTATAATATGCTTTCTACTCTCCTTTGCTATGGAAACAAGACATGTGTGATCTCACTCTCTGGCCTTCTGTATTTTCTCAGATAATTTTTAACTTGTTAGATTATTTCACCTAATTAGGAAGGGGGAAAAAATGAGGGAAAAAAAGAAGTGGTGTCAAAAGTAATTAACTTTCTAGAGTTTGTAGGAAACAGGCGAGTAAAGGTGCAGGACTCAGCGGCATGGGACATGGGAGCAGGAAGCCCTTCCTGATGGTGTGGGGGAGACACAGGCATGGGACACACAGACATGGGACAGACACAGGCATGGGACACACAGACATGGGACAGACATGGACATGGGACAGACACGGACATGGGACAGACACAGGCATGGGACACATGGACATGGGACAGACACAGACATGGGACACACAGACATGGGACAGACACAGACATGGGACACATGGACATGGGACAGACACAGACATGGGACACACAGACATGGGACAGACACAGACATGGGACACATGGACATGGGACAGACACAGACATGGGACACACAGACATGGGACAGACACAGACATGGGACACATGGACATGGGACAGACATGGACATGGGACACACAGACATGGGACAGACACAGACATGGGACAGACACAGGCATGGGACACACAGACATGGGACAGACACAGACATGGGACAGACACAGGCATGGGACACACGGACATGGGACAGACACAGACATGGGACAGACACAGACATGGGACAGACACAGACATGGGACAGACACAGGCATGGGACAGACACAGGCATGGGACAGACACAGGCATGGGACAGACACAGGCATGGGACAGACACAGACATGGGACAGACACAGACATGGGACACACGGACATGGGACAGACACGGACATGGGACAGACACAGGGTGGGACAGACACAGACATGGGACAGACACGGACATGGGACAGACACGGACATGGGACAGACACGGGCTCTGGCACAGTGCAGAGGGAGCTCTGCTCTGCCCCGGGTCCCCAGGCCAGGCCTCACACAGCCATGGCCACTTGCTCAGGACTGAGCCAAACTGCTTCCCAAAGCAGTCTCTTCAATCTGCCTTTTGCAGTAGAACAGTAGTTTGAAAGACAAGCCTTTATAGAAAGTTCTAGAAAAAGGGACAGAAAAATAACTTTCAGAAATGAGATTAATAATACTCTAGCTCATGACTTGAGCTTTTCATTCCTTTTTCCAGCCTCTTGACTCTTCCTCATTTAGGGCTGCAATGCTTGCTGTTGATGGCAGTAACAACAAACACAACAATACTGAATTGTTGTTGATCAGATGTACCAGCAGTGTATAATAACTCAGTGTGGTTTTCCTGTCCAGCTGTCGGCACTTGTCTGCTCCAGGTGCATTTTACCTGAAGGAATGGAATGTTTCAAAAGCAATCCCATCTGGACTGCATAGCCAGGTAAAAAAGAAAGTAAAACAAGACCTTCTTATCTGAAGATATGATTCCTATTTGGACAGGCAACAGTAAAAGAAAATTACAGGCTTTGTATAACTGTGCCTGCTTGCTAATTCCCTGGTGAGTTAAAGTTAAGGCTGTGAGAGTAATAAAGCCTTTTCTTGATTGGAAAATGTTTCATTATATGAATAAATGAATCACTTGTCCACATCCAGGATCATTTCCAGCCCCCCCCGCCCCCCCCTTTCTCTCCATTAAACTATACAGAAACATTAAAATGTAACAGCAGGGAATTTAGCCAGGTTTTATCTACCCCAGTAACTGCAACAACCTTCATGTACACATCAGATTTCTATAAAAAAAACCTACGTTCCAAGCAAGAGAATTAAAGATTTTCTTATTTCTAGCAAAAGTTAGATGCTCTTATTTTAACCTTTGTTCATGTTCGTATTTCCAGGCATGAAGTGCTACTAAAGCATGTTATACTTGGCATCTCTTATTACTGAAGCAGAAGGCAATGTAATTTTGTGAGAAAGTGTAATAATGCAGTATTCATTTTTCTTCTGTGGCTGGAAGCCAACTCTATATTAATATTCATTTCCAGTATACAGAGCCACAGTATTTCATTTATTTTAAGAATTTACAATTAATTTGGTATGATTCTGTTATCTGCTCCCAATTTCCTTCCCTGTTTCTTTTAGCTGAAAAAGCAGCTCTTGTATAGACTTTAAAAAAGTAAATTCACAACTGAAGCATCAAAAGATTGCTACTGGCTACTAAAAGCAAGAAAAACAGGGACAGAACAAAATGAACTTGAAATATTACAGATGACAATGAAAATTAACTTTCTGCAAATGGCAAAAATTCAGTCTGCAGAAGTTCTCAGCTGACTTTTTCCTTTCCAAACTCAGCAGATAAAACAGCCTTACAGCCTTCTGTTTGCAACCATAACCAAACCACAGAAAGCTGCTTGTCTGCTTTTCCTGCTTTCAAATGTTTTCAACCATCACACAGCATTAAACTGCAAGTACCTGAATGTTTGTAAAATGCATTCGAGAGATTTGAAACAATTGCAATAATAATAAAAAAATCCTTAGTGCTTCAAAACTTCAGAAAAAAGCCCATAAATAGATGTCTCAACTTCCTACACCTTAGATTTCACCTAGTGCAACCACTTTTGCAATGTAAGTGCATTTATAATTAGCACCAGCTATTACCAAACCAGCCGGTCATAAAGTTTATTACTCCAACCTCCTAATCCACAGTTACCTTTCTTGCCTATGGAAGAGGCTGGAAAGCATTTCACCTTCCAGCTGTTTGTACTTACTTTCCTGTACAAGGAGGATTACAGCCCAGTCCCCAGGCTGGACAGACACCGAGAGGACAGCGGGTACAGCAGCTCCCAGAGCCAGAATCCCACCAAGGATGGAAGCATCCGAGATCTGGGAAATGCCACTTTTCTATTACATCCTGGCAGTATTTAAGAAGGAGGGGAGGGATGGGAAACTGACTGTGGAAGCTATTTAAGTGAAATGAGGCTTCCCCAAGTTCAGAAAGCGCTGTGAAGACTCCGAGGACATGCTCCCTGAGAGATGTGTATGTTCACACATGCAGATGAACAACCTATTTCAGCAAAGCTCGTCTGTCAGCACAACCCAAGCTCTGCAAGTCTAGAAAGAAAGCTTAGGAAATTACGCAGGGAGTGTGGAAGGCTGCATAAAATATATGAATTTTTAATCTTGGGTCTTGTCATTTTTAGGGACTTTTTATTTATGTAATAGCTCCTTTTTACTTATAGAAATCCAGAAAGAAAGAGAGGGGGAGGCAAGGTAGCTTTCCAGAAGTATTTCTGAAAATCTGGCCTTAAAATTCAAGGAATTTTGACCAAGTAAAGTGTGTATCTGCTTTAAAAACTGGTAAGATCATGACAAAGACACAGCAAGGAAGTCTATGTATTATACATCAATTACTGAATAATGTGAGATGGCATGGAGATGCTATTTTATTATTAAACTGATCTTTTCACCTGCAATCTACGCAATCAAAATGCTTGCACCCCAAAATAGCCTCAAGTTCTATATGAATATTTGCAATTAAGAATTCATAAGTGGTGTTTTCCTTTTCATTCATTTGTGTTCCTCTCTTTATTAAAAGGGCCACAAAAACAGCTGTGGAGACAGACTAGCTGGATGAAGTGTAGTTTATGAAAAAAAACAGATAAAGAATAGATAACGCAACCTCTTGAAAAAATCTTTCCTTCCTCATCTCTTTAATTTAACAGCTATTTTAAGCACATTTGATAGCAGTGAAGTATTTTTCCTTTTTCTAAAAAAAGCAAAAATATTTTCAAGTAGATGCTATTTCTGTATGAACTTTGAGTTTTATTTCCTGAAATTTAACTTGCATAGCACTAATCTTAATGAAGTGTTTGCCATTTCGTTTTCAGTGAGCCAAATTAGAAAAGTAAAACGGGTATTTCATTTAGTTGTTTTATACCACATTTAACATATCCATACATTTCTTCTAAATGGTTGTGCAATGAGAATAGAAAAGAAAGGATAAACAGGAAGAATCCAAAAATAAGGCACCTACCAATCAAGGCTATTAATACTTCAGTTGCCTGAACACTGCATTTCAATTTCAATATATGACACTATCAAACCTGAAAAAAACCTATTTTCTTCTTTTCTTCATTAAAAAGGGACAATTGGAGTCTTATAAATTAAACCTAGAATATGCTACAGATACATTTATCTTGTCATCCTCAAACTTCAAGTTATCTAACAGAAATTAATTGTACAGTCCATTTAACTCATCTGCAAACCCAAGTAAAAAATAAACTAAAGCTTACCTTCAGTACACTGCAGGAAGCTGATAATGAGCAGAAACCAAAAACTTTGCATTCTGCAGCCAAAAGACACCATTATTGATCCCTGTAAGAATTTTCTTTGTATTCCTTAATGAATCCAGTTATAAAAGCCCAGCATCATCGAAACCAGTGGTCTGCATTATTCATCTTCATACCTAGAGTAGCAGAGGATTTGGAAGAAAAGGAGAAAAAAAATCTATCAGTACCTGAACACAAATAATTTGAAATACCAAATTTACTTCACACGAAAACGGAAATTTTTAGTAAAAACTGAGAGTACACCTGCACTGTATCTGGGAATTTGGCAGGGTTTTGGGATGTTATCTCTCAAGGTCAACGATCACTAAGCCCAATGCCAAATAATGATACATGTTAAAGTTGAAAGCATGAGTGTTATTATGTATTTGCACTAAGACACATGAAAAAATAACAAACCAACAGGAGAACATCTGCAGCGAATATATGGAACTGAACCTGTAGATGTGTCAGCTACGCTTTTCTGACTCCACAAATCTGCCACAACCTGCATTTTTCTACCTCAAAGAACCACAGTAAAATTAAATCTAGGGCACTACCATATTTCTTGGGGATTTGAAATATGGAGTGGCTGAGAACAACACAGCAACTCCTCCCAGCAGGAAGGCTGAGCAGGTCTGCCCCCTGCCATGGTCCTGGCGTTCCCCTCATGCCACACAAAGATTGCCCTCCTTGGATGAGAGAGACAGTAACAGCTGCTTTGCTGACAAAATACCCCATTTGGTGAGGCAGCTTCTTCATATGACTGCACAGTTAACTGTATTTCTACACAATAAACATCTTCAGAGAAAAGGGAATAAACAATGGATAAGACCTTCTCCTGTCCTTAGCCTCAGACAAAATTTGTCTTGTACTGAGAAATACGGACTGAACTGCTCCTGTAAATGATGTACCAAAGGAAGAATTCTTAAAGCTATAATTTGCATTTGAAAAATATAATTACAGTGATAGAGTGCAGTAGCTGTGGTAGAAGATTTGACAGCAGAGTGCTCCCTTTTGCTAATGACTCTATTCTCTCACCAGCCAGCTGAGTAACTACACACATCCTCTTCCATATCTCACTGTGAGAAGCTAGGTCATGCTTCAGCCCCGACTATTAGAGTTTGGGAAGCTAGAGAAAAATTAACATCCAGAGAAGAACAGATTATTTTTAAGTAGAAAGTTGGCTCTACATATTACAGATATATGAAACAACTCTGGAGAACACTGAACACTGCAGCAATCATAGATGCAAAGGGCTGAGCCCTGTGTCACATTGGCCTGGTCTTTCCAGGATGAAAGAACAGGACTGTATGGATGTATTGCTGAGATATCTGAAATTAATGTTACTTTAAAACCTTGTAACAATGACTGTGTAAAAATTTAAGTGGCAGGATCCAAGGGCCACTTATGATTCTTATGAGTACTAGAGCATGTTAAGGGCTTTAAAAATACATTTACCCTTTTGGCAAGGAGAAGTGGAAAGGATGAAGAGCACAACATGCCAGATAAAGAAATTCTATGAAATGTTGATCATTTTTAGAAGTAGAGAGTATATATTAGTCAACGTTAATCGTTATCGATGATAAAGTTTGTTCCCTGAGCACACAAACAGCAACAAGACTGTTTTTCCCACAAGGAGAAAAAGGTGGGAATTAACAGAAAATGTTATAGAACAATTTCTCTGGCTCTCAATGAAGGTGGTGTATCTGTGGAGATTATTAAATAGCCAAGCAGGTTTCTTTACTCAGCTCCTCTTTAAGAGAACTGGAGGCATCCCTCTCACAACACAAGTGTGCTTGTGATTCCTCACACAGAAAGAAAACTGACATCTGAGGCCATATGATTTTATGTTTATTGATACGTAAAAATGATCTCTTTTTCCAATTTCCAGCTACAGACAGGTGCTCTTTAGTCACAGGCACTTTTTTTCCACACACATTTCAACAAGAAGCAGGCAACAGCAAAGCGAGCTCAGGACGGGCAGCGCGTGGCTCTCCCTGGCACACGCCCATGAGCCCTGAGGAACAAAGTGTGACCTGAATTTAGATGGTGACACAGGACAGCCCCGAAAGCGGTTATGAAGAGAGAGTCACATTCCAGCTCTAGATCCTTTACAGTGGGCTGAGACTCTTTTGTTACTACGAGAAAATAAATCTAAAAGTCCATAAAGGATGCACTGCATTTAGCAGAAATTAAAATTGCAAAGGAGCTCCTGCTGAGTTAAGAAGAAAATATTGCCACCACGATCTCCAAAAAAAAGCCCTGGAGATAGTTCAGCTAGAATCTTGGGAAGAGTTTGGATTAATTTTTCACCTGCAGCACCCAAAGGAAAAATCATAAAACTATTTCACACACTCTACAGACTAATCAGCGTAATTTCAGTAAGCAATCAGAATAATCCAAGAGAATACATGATGAATAATAATGGCTAAAAGTGAAATTAAATCAGCCTTCTGATTGCTCCCAGTCTGTCCAGAAGATTTGGACTTCCTGAGACTCAAGTTTTTATTTCTATAACATATCACTGCACCCCCAGGTTTTGAGATATCTTTGTTCAACTTCAGCTGGATAGTGACATCCCTGTGCTTCATCATCCTCAAAGTCATCACTTACTTGTGGGCCTTTTTAAATTGGAGTGGAGAGGAAAGAGTTATGTCAAAAATAAAACCAATAATCAAAGCATCACTTGCAGTAAATCCCAGCATTTCCCAAGGAAATAGTTACAAAACATATGCCAAACACTTTGCTTTTTGTTTTTTGTTTTTTTGAGTAAGAGTTCCTGACCTTCTAAACTGACTTAGCCACTTTTATAAGGACCTACAGTTTATGAAAATATATTGATGCCTTTGTAATACCAAAACCAGCAGAAACTATTCAATTAAGAAGAAATTGCGAGCACTTTAGAGGACAATTTTAAGGGTTTTGTGCAATATATTGTTCTCTTTAGATTGCTGTAGCCTACAGACATAGAATTTAACTCAGTGTGCTCCTGCAAAAAGAATTCAAAATAAACTAACCAGCCCCTACCAGATTATCGGTAACACATGTTTATCTAAAAACCCAAGAAAAAATGAAACACTGTTTGAAAACTGATGCAATAGGGTTTGGGTTTGTTTCTTTTCTTTTGAGTAAGTTAACATGTTCACAGCAAACAAATTTTAATGGAGCCTCGGTATTTGAGAATCTCTGTGTGGCTCCAAGTAAAAGAACAGTGCAGTTCCAACCATTCATCAGCATAACAAAAGCTCAACCTGAGAAAGGCATCCAGACATGAGCTGGAGCCAGAGAGCACTCGGACTAAAGACACTGCTGTCAGCCACATCCTTCTGACCATCCATCTATCAGTGATACAGAGACGTCGGTGGCATCTCGCAACAACAACAAATCCCAAACCAAACGAGTAGAAGCAGGAAAAGATGTATTAAGTTACTTCTTTGTAAACAGAAAAAGGAGATCACAGTAAGGGGCTGTCCTGCACAAATAAGATATTTCCCTTCAGACCTTAATAAACCTTTTCTCTGCATCGCTGACTGCTTCGGCTTGTGGGCGGGGCAGAGAGAAACTCCCTAGAGCAAAATCTTGCTTGAATTTCAGAGTGCAATAAAAGCTGCCCAGAAAATTTCAGTTGTAACTTAAATCCCTACCTCTGGGCCATACTGCAATCTCCCACAGGGAAAAAAAACAACCCCCTGCTGGAAGTAGAGTGGTTCATCTTGTTAAGATTCTTCTCATATGCACTCTTAAAGAAGGCTAGATCAGGAATAGAAATGTTAATGTTCAAACCTGTAACACTGCAAAGGTACTGGACATCTCTTCATACTGTATTCATAAACTGTGCTCCAAGTCCCGAATATCTCAGTGCCCCTGCCTCGCTTCCTTGTTCTTCTGTGCTTCTGAAACTTCTTACAGACGGAACACGACTGCTGCAGAATACATGCCACTGCTGGCCATCCCTCTCCCTGCAACATTGCTCAAGAGCACCCCAGAGATAAGAGGAAGCTGCTCCAAGCATGCTCCTTGAAATACTTTTATCTTTGAAGAGAAAGACCTCTAAAGGACTGCCGTGTCCCAACTCTACTCTGTTTAACCTTCCCAAGGTTTTATTTTCAAAAGCCAAAAAAGGGTCTTTTAAGAGCTTCCGGACAACTGACACAGCATGCTCAAAAGCTGTCTTTTCCCTCCTGTCCTATCCAGCTTTTCAGGCAATTAAGACAAAGGAGAACACAGAGATCTTTCCAGCTAAGCAAGGATGTTTTTCTTCAGCTAAAAGTCATTCAGACTAATGCTGATGTATTTTAGAGTATAGTGCTTCATTTTCCAAATCATTTTAGAAACACCACAGAGCACTTGCAACCTCAGTGAAGCTTTAACATCCCTATTACAGAAATAAAATTTATACTAGCTTTACAGATGATGAGGCAACGAAAGGTAAGGAACATCAGGCATAGCTGCAGAGCTCATACATGCCAAGGAACTAGCAGGACCAGGCAGTCCTTCTTATAAATCCTGTGTGACCTATCTTGCCACACATGCAGCACCCCCACTGCTTTTCATAACCCAGTTTATGAAACTGAGTAATTCTGTAATATATATGAGACATTCTGCAGAGGAAAGGAGGGGGATGAGAAGGCAAGGGTGAGTAGATATATATTCATACAATATAATAGACTACTTAGTCTCCTGAGAAATCATGTGCCCACGTGCTTTCCCATCATGAGGCTTTTCCAATTTAAAAAAAAGCAAAAAGTTAAACTTACTATAATCTGTAACACAAGAATTTAATTAGTGAAGTGTGATTAGTAAAACTGTCTAAGCTGAATTAGTAAAATACTCAAATGAGACTAATACTGTTTATGATCCAAGAGCTACCATTTTCTACATATCTGTAACAAGATCCAGCTCTAGCTTCCAACAACGAACGTATCTTCAGACACGCATTCAACATGACTTATTCCTAAGTTTTCAATATGTTTATTCAAAACTTGATTTACATTAATAACTCCACACTGGTGCTACAGTACCAGATTGTACAAAGTCTGGTTATGAGTTTTAGCTATGGGACCCTACAAAAAAAAACCCTGACAACAATCAAGACACTGCTGATCTAGTTAGCTTCCTTCTACTACCTAAGGTAAAC